TTAGATTATTGCGCTTTTCATTTTTATGTTTTTATAGTTTGAAGGGGTTGGGATGTTGAAACCATCTATTTAAATTCTTTGGGCGTATTTAAAAAACAGAGTTTTATCTGGTTAAAAAATTTTTTTAGTACGACAGAGTACTGAAAACTTAGCATGCCCCTAAATCTGTTTTATCACCTCTATTTCATGACAAAAAAATTTCAAAAATAGTTTCTTACCATTGACCTGTAAGTCCTACTTCCAGGAATTCATCCTAAGGCAATAATTGGACAAGTGCATGAAGATAGAGAAATATTCATCACAGTTATATGATAGAAAAAATGTGACCCAACTTAAACATACAAAAATAGGGGATTAGCTTACAAGTCATGCAGTTATTAATGGGAACATAGATGTATTTGACATGCAAATATATTCATTCCTCCCCCCCATTTAGTTAAAAAGCCTATAAGCAAAGCTATCTATCTATACAAAAATTCCATTTTCTATTCAAAGAAAGGGGGTCTACATATAATCATAAACAAATGTGTGAAAAGATATGTTAGTAGTTGTTGACTTTAGATAATGGGATTATAGACCTCCCCCCGACTTATTTTCTTATTTTTCTATAACAAATATATATTACTTGTTAACTTTTTAAAGTTGAAAATAGGGGCACCTGGGTGGCTCAGTGGGTTAAGTGTCTGCCTTTGGCTCAGGTCATGATCCCAGGGTCCTGGGATGGAGCCCCACATTGTGCTCTGTGCTCAGTGGGGAGTCTGCTTCTGCTTCTCCCTTTGCCTCTCCCCCTGCTTGTGCTCTCTCTCTCTCTCTCTCTCTCAAATAAATAAATAAATAAATAAATAAAGTCTTTAAAAAAATAAAGTTGAAAATAGTTTTGTGAAACAACTTGGCTAAATAGAATCAGGTTGTGTGGGACAAAACATTTATTAAATAACAAAATAAATGTGTCATTTTCTGTATAAAAAGTCTTTTTCCTAGGTTTATTCTCAGTTGGACATGTATTAGGAAACTTTTTTTTAATACACAAGATTGATTTTAATTGTTATTTTGTTATTAAATACAGTATTAATTTATTAATTAGCATACGAACTCACATGGGCCACTTGATTCTTTGACACCTCAGGTTCTTTTTCATTAAAATGGAGCTAACATTTCATTAATAAGTTTGTTGTGGGGATTTAAGAGACTGGTAAACAATGATCCCATAATTATATCTGTGAAAGCACTGTGGAATGCGTGGGCTACACAAATACCAACTATTGTTAATTATTATTCACTAATCAACAATAATAGTATTTGCTGGGTACTTAAAAAACTATTAGTACTTGCTTAGTAAATAAGATTAAGAGAAGGAGCCTACACAAGACTAGCAAATGGAAAACAAGAATGCACACACTGCTGTGGGTAAGTAAGTTGTAACGGGGAAGAGCATTTTATATGGCTGTTGGTGTTCAAGGCCAGGGAAGTCGCTGAGGATGATTAGGAGGATGGGAAAACTATGGATGAGAGAGAGTTTCTTCCATATGGAAATGGTTCTTGAGCTGGCCTTGAAGACGGGGAGGATGTGGCTGAACAAAAGAAAGGGTTAGCGACATGAATAAGGAGATGGAGATAGGAGACAGACCGCTGGGTGGTGTGAAGAGAATGGCTTGACTGAAGTGGATGGTAGGAATTAGTGAATGTGTTGGTTAGGTAAGCTCAGGGCCAGATCATGGGGAACGCCAGAACCTGCACCAAGAAGTACTGAGTTGTAGAAGAAGTAGGATTCCAGTCCCAACACCCTTTCACTCTCAGCAGATGATCCAGAAATATCTGTTTCCACAACTGAACTGACAAACTCACCTGGATCTGCATCTGTCCTTTCCTCTTACATCAGTGAAGGCTTCTGTGGACGGTCTGTTTACCTCTGTGCTTTGCATCGTGTGCGTGTGTGTGTGTGTGTGTGTGTGTGTGTGTGTGTGAAAATGTCCCCCTTTTGGGCCATTTTAACCATTTTTTAAGTGTACAATTCAGTGGCATTAATTACATGATGTGCAACCATCAGTAGTATCTATTTCAAGAAACTCTACCCATGAAGCGATAACTCCCTGTCCCCCTTTCTCCTCAGCCCCTGGTAACCTCTGATCTACTTTCCATCATTATGTTGTTTGGCTACCCTTAGATAACTCATGTAAGTGGAATCATACAATATTTGTCTTTTTGTGTCTGGCTTATTTCATTAGGCTTAATGTTTTCAAGGTTCATCTATGTTGTAGCCTATATCAGAACCTCATTACTTTTTGTGGCTGAATATTATTCCACAGCATGGATATACCATGAAATTGTCCATTTGAAATGAAATGAAATGGCAATAGAAGAGGGTAGTTTTTCCTTTTGTTTTTAAGGCCATATATGAAAAATGTTGGCAACCTTACGTCAGTTCCCTGGAATTTCTTTGAATCTTTACATATCAATCAGAGCAAAGTCTGAGACCCATGCTCTAGGACGTGTTGCATCCTTTGCAATGTTCCAGTTCCTTTTGGCACCATCACAAACGGCTTGTAACATGGATTCAGCTAAGCTCAAAGGATGCTTGCTGACAGCTGTCTTTTTTTTGTTTGTTTGTTTTGTTCATGTCTCCACATAACATGAACTTTTCCATCAAGAGAAATACCTTTCCATTGTTTGGGGGCACTAGAGCTTTCCACGGAAGTTAGAGGACGCTTTCCTGATGTGATGAAGTGATCACACAGAGGCAAGGATGAAGGTATACTTGACAAGCCAACGCAGTGACACACGGGAGGCAGTTGAGAAGGGTGAGAAGTAGTGAGTAGTGAGACCCGGTAGCAGCCTGTGCTCCACAGCGCCCCATGCCTTGGACCATGCGGTTTTTATTTATGAGGCCAGGGCTCTTGAAAATAAAAGCAAGGTCAAAATAGAAAGTTTACAGTATTCCAAGTCTGTGTCTATAAAAATAAAGTATCACTTAGGTGACATATCAGATCTTTATTCACTTAGGTCTATTTTCAATGATTTTTCCTAAGGTGGGTTTTAAATCTCCTCTCCCCGTTGCTGAGAGTCCTTACAATACCTTTTTCCGCAGGTTGGGATGAATAAGGACTGTAAATGCTAGAAATGTTTCACAGAGAGTAAGAAGATACGGTGCAGTGTGTGTTTGTAATTACTTGCTGGAAAGGCTGCCCAGCTGTACAGGGGATTTACCACAACCATGGTCCTGGAGCCACTGGGATCGTGGGAGAGCACCCTGCTGAGTCGGAGCAATATCATATTGCAGGTGTGGCTTATGATTAGAGAAGCAGTAGAAATAGGGGAAGAAATGATAGAGGAAGAATGTTTTCATAAGAAAATCTCAGCACATGCACAAGAAGTTCCTGCAGAGTTAATCTAGTCCAAGCCCAAGACACTAAGCTCTGAGAAGTGAGACATCTTGATCAAGGTCATAGGGATGACTTCTTACTTCTAGTCCAGAGCCTTTACTTCTATACCAGCGGAAGAAGTTAGTGGGAGTGATTTCGTGAAAGAGTAATGAGGTTGGTTTTGATCTGTTGTTTAATAAAAACAAAAACACATGGCCTGTTAAAAGGGCTAAGTTTACCTGGATTTCAACTGTTAGGGTAAGAAGGCCATATTTTATTATTTGTTAGTATTGATGATATGTTTCTTCTGCTATTAAAAAATACCAGGGAATTTATTTTCTTTATTAATCTGGTACCACTGGGGATAATGGGAGGGGATGATTTCAATTTTTTAGTAAGTATTCATATTTATCCTGATTACACTGTGTTGCACAGAGATGTTGTCAACACTCAACTCTGGAGGATCTCAAGCCCCTTCCTCATCTGCTCACATGATAGGACATTTGTAATTCAATCTAGTGCCTTCATTCCCTCGTGGCATTTCAGTGAACTCTTTTCTATAATGGTACCATTCTAGGCCCATTTCAGACTCTAGAGGAACCCAATAAGAAATTGTTCGTTTTCACTCCAAATTATCTAAAGAGATCTAGGCTCTATGGATCGAGGAAATAGTACGATAAAGAGAAACTGATCTAATGTCTAATTGTTCCTTCATAAGTATCTCTGTTGCATCATGTGTGTGGCTATCTGTTTTTATCAAGGTAAGAGCCTGGGAAAAGGGAAGGGAGAAAGGAAAGAAAGCCCACATTTATTAAGTGCTAACTGTATGCCTGGCACTTTATATATGCTAGCTTATTGGATCTTTACAATAACCCTACGATACAGTTGATTTCATTTTATAAGTGAGGACATTAGGATCAGAGAATCACACAATGGATTCTAAGAGTCCAGATTTCATTATACACAAAGTGGTCTTACCTTACTAGGGATGTTCATGAACAAACACACCTACATCTGCTTTTCCCAGTTACTAGGGAATCCCGTTGAGGTATGACTGTATAGCTCGGATGTTTCAATGTTCTTTTCCCACACTTTAAGGACGTGATGAAGAAGTGGGTCTGAGAGGGGCTTTCTCCGCTCTTTAAAGTAGCGCCTCTCCAACATTCTTTGCCCTGTACTTTGACTTCCTTTCCTCCCATGTAGCACCATCTGACATATGCTTATTTATGATCTATTCCTTTTATTAGGAGGTAAGCTTCTTGAGATGAGATGTGTCGTAAGCTCCATGAGATGAGGAAATACTTTCTCTTCAGCTTCTGAGAGAAGGTCTGGCACCTCGTAGGCCTAAATCACTAAATATTTGATGGATTTGTTAATTCCAGAAACTTCCTGAGAGTTGTCAGCTCAGTTGTCAGCATGGGTCTTGAGTAAAGCACAAAAGTGAAAAAGAGATAATTCACATAAAGTGAGCTGTAAAAGAATGAATGCGCTGTGGAAAACAGACAAGAGAAAAAAAGGGGTACAGCCACCCCCTCCAAAGTCCTCTTCCATCCGTGCACAAGAGAACCTGTGTTTTACACGTGAAGGTATCGGATGTGCTGTCTCCACCACCCAGTAGTGAACACTAAAAAGAGGTTTAAAATTTAAAATCAAAGATGCAGCTGCTTTCACATAGAAGCAGCAGTCAAAAAAAGAGCCTAAAGGGACAGTGTTCCTGTTCAACCACTGTTCTGTTGTCTGTAACCGATTTATGACATTTTGGGAAAACACAGCTAAAAACAAGCTAGTACTGAGGTAGGTGTGCTTCTGATGCCTTCTTTTCTGAGCGTGGCCGAATTGACCAACAATAGAAACTTGGGGGAAACCAGTACCATTGCTAGATTCTACAGAAGGGAGCTCTTCACATGCAAGAGAAAGGAAGTTCTTCTAGATGAAGTGGAGTGGGACCACACTGGACTTGAGGGCTATCTGAGAGTCTGGTTTGGGATCTCATTAATATGCCCTACTTCAGGGCACAAAGGGTGAGGGCAGGAGTGAGCAGTAGCACAGACTGGGAACTCTTCACTGGAGTCTCCCTAGCCACTGTGGCTTGGAAGTGTCCACGGGGCTGGTAGTGGTTGAGCTGCATCTCTCCAAGGGCAAGGCTCAGCCCTTGTGTTTGGCAGCACCTCGAAGGTCAAACCACACCAGGACTCAGGGGAGACTGTTCCAAGTCATTTACAGCTGTGGCCCCCACCCCATTCTCTTCAGGCTGTTGAGTCGTAGAACTTGTTCCTGACCCCGGAGTTTAAAGTCCTTGAGGAGAATAACATCAGAGAAGAGTGCTGGAATCCAAGAAGACTCCTCTCTTCCAGTCCCTTTTGGGGGGGTAAACCCAAGGTTTGGGTAAAATTCTCAATGTACAAAGATGAGTAACTAGAAATTCTCCTCACACAGTTTGGGGCTGTATAAAAAGTGTTTGCATAATTAAGGCAACAGAGCCTAATATTCAAGAACCATTCATATACTCAGCAGGTACTTATTAAATATCTCTCATATGCTTGACATTCTTCATGAATGTCAAGAGAGCAGTGAACAAAACAGACAAAAATCCCTGCCTTCATGGAACGTACATTCTATCAGGGGAAAAAATTTTCTTAAGGGAAGAAGCAAAATTTAAATAACATCTGCTCTTCTCTGTACTTTCAAAAAACAAACAAAAAAGAATTCCATGGCTATTCCACTTGATGTATATGCCCTCAGGGACTGTTCCACATATGCAAAGGCAGATGGGCACAGTGATGTTCGCTGAAACTTGTTCATGGTAGGGGAAATTGCAAACAAACTAAATGTCACTAGAGAAAAGGATACATAAATGTGGTTTGTTTATTTTATAGTGTGCAGCTCTGGGACCGGAAGTCTAGGATTTAATCCAGCTGTACCACTCACGGGTCTTTGTTTTTTTCCAGCTTTAATGAGAGGTCATTGACATATGACATTTGTTTTGTTTTTTAAAGATTACACATATAAGTGAAATCAGACTGTGTTTGTCTTTGTCTGACTTACCTCACTTAGCACAATGCCCTCCAGGTCCACCCACGTTGTCACAAATGGCAAGATTTTACTCTTTTTATGGCTAAGTCATATTCCATATATGCACCACATCTTTGTTATCCATTTATCTATCAATGGACGCTTAAGTTGCTTTCGTTTCAGGTTACTGTAAATAATGCTGCAGTGAACACAGGGGTGCATATAGGTCTTCAAATTGGTGTTTTGTTTTCTTCAGGTAACTACTCAGATGTGGAATGACTGGATTAGATGATAGTTCTATTTTTAATTTTTTTAGGAACTTCCATATATTTTTTCATAGTGGCTGCACCAATTTACTTTCCCACCAGCAGTGTATGAGGGTCCCTTTTATCCACATCCTTACCAGCTCTTGTTATTTCTCATCTTTTCGATAATGGCCAATCTGGCTGGTGTGAGGTGATACCTCATTGTGGTTTTGATTTGCATTTCCCTGATGATTAGTGATGTTGAGCATCTTTTCATGTGACTCTTGGCCATCTGCATGTCTTCTTTGGAGAGATGTCTTTTCATGTCTTCTGCCTATTTTTAAATCAGATATTTTTTGATATTAAACTGTGCAAGTTCTTTACATATTTTGGATATTAATCCTTTGCTGGATATATGGCTTGCAAATAACTTCTCCCATTCAGTAGGTTGCCTTCTTATTTTGTTGATGGTTTCCTTCACTGTGCAAAAGCTTTTTAGTTTGATGTAATTCCATTTGTTTGTTCTAGCTTTTGTTGTCCTTGCCTAAGGATACTGGTCCAAAAAAAATATTACTAGGAGTGATGTCAGAGAGCTTACTACCGATATTTTCTTTTAGGATTTTTATGCTTTCAGGTGTTACATTCAGGTCTTTAATCCATTTTGAGTTTATTTTGTGTGTGGTGTAAGAAAGTGGCCCAGTTTCATTCTTTTGCATATGGCTCTCCAGTTTTCCCAGCACCATTTATTGAAGAGACTGTCTTTTCCCCATTGTTTATCTAGCCTCCTTTGTCTAGATAGACCATATACATGTGGGTTTATTTCTGGGCTCTTTATTCTGTTTCATTGATCTATGTGTCTATTTTGTGCCGGTACCATACTGTCTTGATAACTATAGCTTTCTAGTATAATTTGAAATCAAGGAGCATAATACGTCCAGCATTGTTCTTCTTTCTCAAGATTGCTTTTGCTATTTGGGGTCTTTTGTTGTTCCATATAAATTTTAGTATTATTTGTTCTAGTTCTGTGAAAAATACTATTGGTATTTTGATGAGGAATGCATTAAATCTGAAGATTGCTTTGGGTAGTATAGACATTTTGACAATATTAATTCTTCCAGTCCATGATCATGTTATATCTGTCAATTTATTTTTGTTATCTTCAATTTCTTTCATCAATAAAATCTTCTTACAGTTTTCAGAGTGCAGGTCTTTAACCTACTATGTTAAATTTATCCCTAGGTATTTTATTTTATTTTATTATTTTATTTTTATTATTTTTTGATGTAGTTTAAGATTGTTTTCTTCATTTCTCTCTCTGATAGCTCATTATTAGTATATAGAAATGCAACCAATTTCTGTATGTTACTTTTGTATTCTGGAACTTTACTGAATACATTTAATAGTTCTAATAGTTTTTTTGATGATCTTTAGGGTTTTCTGTATATAGTATCATGTCATCTGCAAATAGTGACAGTTTTAATTCTTCCTTACCAATTTGAATCAAGCCTTTTATTTCTTTTTTCTTGTCTGATTACTGTAGCTAGGGGTTCCAGTACTATGTTGAATAAAAGTAGCAAGAGTGGGCATCCTTATCTTGTTCTTCATCCTAGAGGAAAAGCTTTTAGCTTTTCACCATTGGACATGATGTTAGCTGTGGATTTGTCATACGTGGCTTTTATTATGGTGAGATACATTCCTTCTATAACCACTTTGTTGGGAGTTTTTAATCATAAATGGATGTTGAAGGTATGACCTAGGACAAGCACTGGAGTGAGACAAGGGCCACCCACAGTTTGGCCCTCCTGCTGCAGGCTCCCCCCCAACCACCCCTCTCACGCCTGCCTTGGGCCTGGACAATCCCACAGCATGATCTCCCTCCAGGACCCACATACCAGGCTTCCACTTCCAGCTGGGTTCTTGGCCTCATGGCTAGGACCCCAAGGAGGGCTGCTCAGACAAATGCCTAAAGGACCATGCTTGGGCCACAAAGGCTAGCTATTATGGTGTCTAGTGGCCAGGAGGATAAAAATGGATGTTGATTTTGTCAAGTGCTTTTTCAGCAACTATTTAGATGTTCATACGATTTTTATCCTTTGTTTTGTTAATGTGTATCACATTGATTTTTAAAAAGATTTTATTTATTTATTTGACAGAGACACAGCGAGAGAGGGAACACAAGCAAGGGGAGCAGGAGAGGGAGAAGCAGACCCCCCCACTGAGCAGGGAGCCCAAAGCAGGGCTCGATCCTGGGACCCTGGGACCATGACCTGAGCCAAAGGCAGACGCTTAACGACTGAGCCACGCAGGCGCCCTCACATTGATTTGCAGATGGTGTACCATCCTTGCATCCCTGGAATAAATTCCACTTGATCATGGTGTATGATCCTTTTAATGTAGTGTTGAATTTGATTTGCTAATATTTTTTTGAGGATCTTTGCATCTATGTTCATCAAGGATATTGGCCAAAATTTTCTTTCTTTTGTGGTGTCTTTCTCTGATTTTAGTATCAGGGTAATGCTGGCCTCATAAAATGAGTTTGGAATTGTTACTTCCTCTTCAGTTTTTTTTTTTTTTTTTTTAAGATTCTACTTATTTATTAGACAGAGAGAGAGAGCATGAGCAGGGGGAGCAGCAGAGGGAGAGGGAGAAAAGCAGGCTCCCTGTGGAGCAAGGAGCCGGATGTGGGGCTCAATCCCAGGACCCTGGGATCACGACCTGAGCCGAAGGCAGACACTTAACCGACTGAGCCACCCAAGTGCCCCTCCTTTTTGGTTTTTTGGAATAATTTGAGAAGGATAGGGACTAACTCTTCTTTAAATGTTTGGTAAAATTTACCTGTGAAGCTCTCTGGTCCTGGACTTTTGTTTTTTGGGAGTTTTAAAATTACTGATTCAGTTTCATTACTTGTAATTGATCTATTTAGATTTTCTATTTGTTCATGATTCAGTCTTGGAAGATTGTGTGTTTCTAGGAATTTGTCCATTTCTTCTGTTTTCCAGTTTGTTGGCATATAATTATTTGTGGTAGTCTCTCATAATTCTTCGTATTTCTGTGATATCAGTTGCAACTTCTCTTTAGTTTCTTATTTTATTTATTTGGGTCCTTTCTCTTTTTTTTCTTGCTGAGTCTTTTTTTCTTCATGAAGTTTATTGATTTTGTCTATCTTTTCAAAAAAATCAGCTATTAGTTTCATTGATCTTTTCTTTTGTCCTTTTTTTAGTCTCTATTTCATTGATTTCTGCTTGGATCTTTATTATTTCCTTCCTTCTGCTAACTTTGGGTCTTGTTTTTTCTCCTCTTTAGTTCTTTTAGGTATAAAGTGAGATTTTTGGGGGGATTTTTTTATTTCTTGAAGTAGGTCTGTATCACTATGAACATCCCTCTTAGAACAGCTCTTGCTATAGCCCATAGATTTGGAAAGTTGTGTTTCCATTTTAATTTGTCTGAGCTATTTTTTTATTTTCTTATTGGTGTGTTCATTGACACATTGAGTGTCATTTAGTAGCAGGTTGTTTAG